GAACAGAAATTTCTACGCATGCAAACATACAGCCCAAAAAGGTCTATCGCTTTCCTGCTGCCCTCAAGCCCATTTGTAGTCTATGCAAGCATCATAGCTAGTTATATAGAAAAGAAATAGATTCCCAAGATTAGCATATAGATATCTTTTCTAGATAAATCCTATGCTTGTGACGCTTGTCTACTGAGTAAGCTCAGAAAGCCGAGAGTCGACGTCACCGAGGACAGAAATAGTTTGCATTGCAAGCAGGCCAAGAGCCTCCGCATTCCTGAACATGTCCTGCACTTGCGAGAAACGTTCAATGAGCTCCGTTGCTTGCCGGAGCTTGTCGATATAATCGTTCAAGGTAATATAAACGGTAGAATCGGTAGCCGCGGCGAAGTACTCCCAGACCTGGTTTGTCCGGCATGCAGCCTCGGCAAGGGCTCTTAAAAGTTGCCTATCTATACCTGCACCGTATTTCGTCCTTACCGTCTGGCAGATATCGCTGATATGCTCAGCGGTAATATGACTATAACAAAAAGTGGCAAAAGCGAGCTCGATATCTTTCCACTGATCCTTGAAGCCCATTTCTACTTTGCGGCGTTGTCCTGCTACCCTCTCGAAGAGAAGCTGCGCTGCCTGTTTCACAAGCTTGTGATCTAGTTTATCGATGCCTGGCGCTAGTGTCATGGCCGCTAGAAGAGTGCGTGTACCCGTTGCCGTCGATGTCTGGCAATCATAACACTTTCTCGTGCCCAGTGCCTGGGGCGATAGCTGAAAGCGCATTAGGGATGCACTGAGCCGGGAAGAATTAGGCTCATGACGACATACAAAGGAGGAAGCTGAAGTTGGAGTTCGCAATATAGAAGATCTTCTTAACGATACAGGGGAGCGGGGCGGAGACATATAAGAGCTATGTGAGAAAGCGGATGAACTCCGTGTGCGTGGTGGTGTGGGGGAATTCCGCGACGACATTATGATGGAGTATAAAGGGAGCTCTTGATATTATATACTTGCCTAGTGTACTTGACAATTTGGCCTCTCATTGAGAGAAATTTGATTCTGCTTTAGTACCGTCGGCCTTATATACCGCACCAGGTCGGTCCACAATGATATTGTTTTGTCGACCGACCGTATCAAATGCTTTGTGCAAAACAAGTCAAAAGTGATTGAACCTTGAAATTCTTTTGAACTATAACAAAGCTCCAGCTTTCTCAATCACGTTTTCCTGTTGAGGCATGGTTTTTCTCTTATTGCTTTGGTATCTCTCTGTCACTACTTGCTTTACTAGTAACATGCACCTTATGCGGCAGTAATTGTAAGCAAGCTGTAGACTATAGCAGCATTGTCCTCCATCTTGAAATGCGCTAGTATCTGTACCTGTCATGGGTAATTATGGCTTACCCAATATGTGCTTCACTAATGTCTTTACATGTGTACGTTATGCCACAGTTAACCTCATAGAGTTTCGTATTGAGATCCCACCCGTACTAAACCAAGACAGAGAGATCGTACAGAGAACGTACGGAGACATAGCAATGACATTGCTGAAAACAGAGCGATACGTCTAATTATGCCCGAGCCGCAATTGCAGGACCGTCGGACGCAGAGTTACGTTCGACGGATAGGAGGAAACATCATTTCTTACGAAGCAGGATGGCTGTTTACATAAGTCGTCCCTAAGTGGTCTTCAATTGCTAGCTTGCCGGTAACGTTGTTATGCTTCAGTGTGCGAAGTCTTGATGGGGAGAGGATGCTAAGCACGCGAAAGAATGGCTTCTCAAGAAATGATTAAATAACCACTGGCGCTAGACGATTCTGACAGAAATAGTTTTCCCGTTCATGCAGTGACATAAATATAAGGTAATTAGGGTATAATAATCTGATGCCATGAATAGTCACAACAGAAGAGTTAGGCGTGCTTAAGTATTACACCGCTTACGTTTACAAGCCATGTCATACAACTAAATACCCCACTGTCAAAAACTAGTGACTCAATCTGATTCTCAAAACGTTCGGATATGCCCGAGACGAGCTCACCAGCCGAGAGAACGCCACAAGTCGGACCGGAAGGAATATATTCGAGATCGGTTCCCTGATAGTCAAATGAGGCCATGATGAACACGAGTCTCATACTATCCAACATAGCAAAACATATTTGCCTTCTTTGCATGCCCATGTACCCGCCATACAATACAGCAAATTTGGTGCTGTACCTCAGCTCGAATCGTTGAATGTCTGCTGGTAGTGCTGAGATAATTTTGGTGGACAGCCCACCTAAATTTAGCGCCCGATCCCTCCGATCTATTCCCACGTGGGCATCGCGCAATATTTGCCAGGTTATTTTTGACCATGTCCTAGCCTTCCATCCTGGCGATCATGCTGCGCATAAGCTTTGGCGCTGTGGGGGACACCCGGAAACTTCCCGGTGGAAACAAAAAAATAACTCCGGTCTGCCACGGCAGTAAGCGCCTGCTAATATAAAAGATTTGGCTGCTCTCGGTGCCGGGGTCGATGAATCAAGTTCACGGAACATGTAAACCTCATACGATAAGTTTTTCCTACTGTCATTCACCAAACTGAAACTCGTTGGCTGCCCTCTGTCATTCGCGACATCTCCATCCCTGTATCTACGGACACTCGACCGGCCCAACATGGCATCGTTTGCAACGGCTCTCGGCCTCCGAACAGCAGGGGCTGGACTATCGTCGCCGAATTGGGCGCCGGCACTGTTAAGCTGGCAATTCATCTTCGCATATGGTCTTATGTCTTCCCGGACGCTGAAACAATGGTACGGAATTGACCACAACTCGTCGCCCAGAGAAGACCTAGCCAAATACGGTGATGCGGCAGTACGGTCTGGGAAAATCACACAAAGGCAGTTGGGAATGCTTAAGCGCAATGAGTCGGCGCACGCTAACTCCGTCGAAAACTACACCTTGTTCGTGGCAGCCATGGGGTTTGCTACGTTCGCAGGCGTCGAAGCTCACCTGATCAATCGCGCGGGGTTGCTTTATGTTATTGCGCGTATCGCGTACGGAGTCGTCTACGTCTTGATCGATCACGACCGTTGGAGTCAAGTTCGTGGCATTGCATGGTGGACGGGCAACCTTAGCTGTTTCTGGTTGCTGTATAGGGCCGGCGCAAAATTAAATTCAGCATGATGGACGGGCAAAAATGGTCCAATGCATATACCAAACAGAGGAGCTTAGGTCATTCGACAAGAGCCGAGAGCGAACCGGCCGCCCTCAAACAAATGCGTGCCTATAATTGGCGCCAGCGTCGAGGGTGCTGGCGAAATTGGAGGCGAGAGGTGCGAAGCGGCACGATGTTAAGCTATCGCATGCAGGTACAACTTTATTACTATTTTATGCCTTTTTTCAGCGCTGTGACCCGTTGCGCCGGTTACTTCCCCGAGAATATGTCTTGAGCTGCGGGCATTCCAAGACAATCCTTTCTAAGGGGCTACGGCCGTAATTGACTATGACGTTTAATAGAGCACGGTGTAGTCAGCACGAGAGATGTAATGTGAGATGGTCTGAAAGGCAATGGCCTAACGCCTCTTATACGGAGTTCTAGTAGCCTCCGGTAAAACCACGACATCTAGTTTTGTTAGTCATCGGCCGGTTTCATATATAACATAAAGCGCATCATTTCGACTATTGGTGGACTTATCATTTCCACTTTCGCTCCTGGAATTCCGAACCTTTATATATTATAGCCTATTCTGCCAATCTTGTCTGCATAGGTATCTTTTCCCATCTTCGTCGTTGATTGTGCTTCTCACATATTCCAGCTAATGTCGCGCCTAATCTCATCGGTATGAAGGGAATTTTGTTGGCTTTAGGCGTCTTGTCAACGCTTGTTTATCGAGCCTCCGCGAACGTCGATCATGTCAGTCTCTATGCTTCGGGCGGCGCAACTATCACAGAAGCTTCGGCTACACTCGTTCTTCCGAGTGCACCGAATCCCATTACAGGTGATGTGGCCTTATGGAGCGCCATTCAGCTAGATATCGACTTCATCCAAGGAGTGACTGAGAATGCACCCTCTGGTTCAGGTTATTGCACCAACCTAGGGACTAACTGGTGCAACTTTGCGTATGCTCTTACGCCAAACGCCCAGAATGGCCAGCCCGTAATCGCTTCTCCTGGGTCAAAAGTCCGGACGCATTGTACGCTCGTCACTCATCCTCTTAGGCCCTAGAACCTGACATTACTTGTAGACAAACTCAATTCATCGACAATCAAGTGGGACCAGGATCTCTATGTAAACGATTCACTAGTATCGAGCATCTCTACAAGTACGCCGCGCGCATTAACGCCAGGTTTTGGATGCTGCAGAGCTGACAATTACTGGTTCAGGTCAAGGGCAAAAGGGGAACATATTCTACATCTCTGTAGAATGTGCAAGCGGTTCTTGTGCCGCCGCACCAGCACATAGTACGGCGGCCATTTTTTCAAGATGGACACGACATATCTAAGTGAGCGCTAACTTACCGATATTCAGGCTGGGAAGACGTTTCAATCGTCCTAAGCACCGCAAACCCCAATTTCAAACACAGTGGAAGCTGGTATTATGGAGCGACCGGCGGAGAAATGTCAACTTCAGATGGTGGAAAGACATGGACGTTTACCACACTCAACATCCCCGCTACAACAGATTAGGGTATGCGATATGTATTGTTTGTTAACATATAATTATTCGCCTCTAACGAACCAAGCTGCGGGAAACGCTGTTCGATTGTTGCTTGGCTCGGTAGATTGTAGAGTCCTAGTCTTCTCCGCTCTAATCATGTTTCTCGGATGAATTTACGGAATGATTTGGTTCTGTCCTTCTTGCGTTACTGTTTTCGTTCAGATAGTCGAGGTAAGGGGATGGGGGGCCATCCATTTGGCCTCCCTGAAAACGGGCATCTAATTCCTGTAAGAAGCGGTCGAGGTTCTGGTTTAGCTTGGGTCAGAGTCAATAGTTGGGATAGTGCGGCAATGTAATCCATCTGATCAATCAGATTCATCGTCTTCGTAGCGCAGTTGGTTAGCGCGTAGGTCTCATATTAATATGATCCGGTCAAAGATCGGGCTATCCTAAGGTCGTGAGTTCGAGTCTCACTGAGGACAACAAATCTTTTTGCGTCTTTTTACTCTATAAACATCGTTTTATTATCGAACTCTTCAGGTATCGATCTATTTTAAGAATAGGAGCTTTGAAATGAAGGCAGCGCCCTTAAACAGCGAATATTCCAGCCCCCGGTAGAACACAAGTTCTCTTACAGCCCCCATAAGCTAAATTCTCCTTAATAGACACATTGAGAGTCTTGGTGTCAGGTGAATAGGTGCCACCATAGTGTGTGCCCATCAAGCTTCGTCTATATGTTGAGGCTACTCGCCCCAGCTACCTGTTAGACGCCTGGGGGGCGTTTGACCAGAAACTCCCGGGAACGACATGCGGTGGTATTCGGCTCCTCTTCATTGTAAATGAAACAAGAAGTGTCAAATATGATAAAAAGGACCATTTTATAAAGCTAAATGGTAGATGACCTGTTATCAGACTTGAAAGAAGCATAGTGAAACATACAAAATAGTTCGAATAACCTTTTAAGCGACTAGCAACCTAGACTTATTATTTGATCCCTTGAGTTTGCGTACGCTACTATCATGTTACGGCATCATGTGAACGAACGCGAGATCTTGTTATACAGACAAATTGACCCGCGGATTGAACTTTTTGTTTGGCGGGCTGGCGTAGACGTCGTTGTCTTTTGCGTAGAGACTATCTCGTCGTCTGAGCTAGAATTGGATCCTGATTCTCCTTGTACTTCTATTGAGCTTTCTGCTGTTGTTTCTCTAGAGGCTGTAGCTTACTGGGATGACGAAGCCTGCTCTTGGCTGCGGGCTACTGGTCCCATAGTCTGGTCGTTCAATTGTAGTACCTCCTCAACTGGGGGTGACGATTCAATTCCTGTGATTCCTTCTCCACTAATCTGTGATAAAGGATCGAGTGTTGACTTCGTACTGAACCGCGTTCTGTGATGTCGTCGTCGCTGGGTTCAAAGTCATTCGTGCCCTGACTGGGTCTTTCCTGGGTGTGATCACCTATTGATCAAGGAGCTATCAAATCGTAGCGAGCCTGCCTACTATCCATCTGATAGTAGGGCAGTCAAGTTGCGAGGTCTTGATTTGCAGGTAACAATAGGTAGAGTCACGGGTGCTCGTTAGAGAGCCCCAATGGGCTTTTCACGTATTCGAATAAATGTGTGCTTAGATTAATAGCTAAGGAGCAAAACTAAAAGAATAACTAGATATAGGAGAGTTATTGACCTATATATGTTATTGCCTTGCTTGCCTATGATGTTGGATCAATAGACTCGCTGTCGATATTTTTGATCCATGGACCGATGACTGATCCCAGTTGTATTACCTAGGTAGGTTCCTGTAATGAGCCTTTTCCACTATTAGTTCGTAACGCTTTCTCTCTCAATACGACCCCGGCAACCCCGCCATCCTCTCTTCCGCCAGCTCCGCCTCCCTCATAGCAATCTCCCTGTGCTTCTCACTCCGCGCAACAAGTCTGTATTTCAGCGCCGCGGGGTAGCTGACGAGACCGTAGCTGAAGTCGTCGGCGTCGGGGATGTAGGGTTTGCCGTTTTCGATGACGGGGTGGACTTCGAATGTCCAGAGCATGCTGTTTGGCGGCGTCAGTGGGAAGACGGGTTTGAAGTTAAAGGCAGTGGAAAGAGCAGATGAGAAGGAAGGAAAAAAGGCTCCACTTACCGCGCCATAGCAATATACAGCGACTGCAGCGCAACATACATCCCCGGACAAATTCTTCTCCCAAACCCAAACACGCCGAACTTGTACGTCTGCAGCCTTGGATCGGTGACATTCAGGAACCTCTCCGGCTTAAAAGCATCGCCATCGGGGAATACCGCTGGATCTCTCATGATCATCCTACAAGGGTTCATATTTGTTATTAATCACTGGACGGATGGATGAACTTTTGATTTGGGGTTCAGAGAGAACTCACGCGCCATTAGGATAAATCGCCGTGTCCTTCGGAATAAACATGCCCTTGTATGTATAATCCTGGATCGAAGAGTGCGCAATGACTGTTGGCGTTACGAGGCGCCATCTGCATCAAAATACACGTCAGACCATTACTTTACGGGCATATTGGATAGGGAGATATACCTCATAGTCTCCTTGATGAAAGCCTCTAGATAAGGCAGGTTTTGCTGGTCTGCAAAAGTAGGCATGCGGTCTCGTCCTACCACTCTGTCCATTTCCTCGTTGACTTTCGCGTAGGTTTCCGGATAGTGCAAGATGGCGACTACATAACACGGTCAGAGGTCCACACTCCCTGGAAAATGAAAAGTGAAAGGCATTATAAATCATAGAGGGGCTAAACATACGGATAGCAATCTCAATCGCAGTAGTCACAGTTCCAATGCCCGCAGCCCACGGAGAAGACAGCGCATAAGACAGTTCCAGGTCATCGAAGCCCAATTCCTTCTGTCGTTCGAGAGCCCATTGGGTTGTGCATGGGATTTGCGTGCCCTCTTCCATTCGCTTCCTGACGTCGTTCATTACGGTTATGTATAGTCTTGTGTTGGTGTCTCGGCGGCTCTCGGGTTCCCAGCTGAACCACTGCAGGGGTTTCCGGAGGGGTGTTAGTGAAACTTTCGCCATGGCGAGGGAGAAGCGCTGCTTACTGGGAGCCATAGTAGTTGAGGCCACTGGTTGTTTTGGTGGTTAGCTCTGTTTTCTGGATCAAAGTTTATCGCGGCTAGAAGAACTTACACTCTCGAGGAAGAAGCGGCCCGGGACTCTGGTAATAATTAGTTCATACTTGGAGGTTGAGTCCGTGGTTGATACTTACTTCGTACTAAAAGCAGTGTGAATAACTTGCGAACAGTTATCTGTTGATAATAGCATGGTTTCCGACGTACCTTTCAATATCTATCAAAACGATCAGCAAAGCCCTTGTCGAAGTGGAAGAATCAGGTACTCACACTCCTCAACCTCATCATGCTCCGTAACCAACGGATCCTCCATAGACGTAACCCTCCGTCCATAAGCCATCTGAAACATCGTAGACGCCATATGCCTATGAAACACATCAGCACCCTGCCCCCTCTATCAACCCCACCTATCTCCATCCCTCAGTACTCTTACCTTCTCAAAATCTTATGTTTACGGTCCAGAATCCCATCCTCCGCCTTATTCTCCAACAAATCCTTAATCAGCACCGCTGACTCATTCTCCTGCATCGGCTTCGCCGCCGGCGATGCCTTGGCGCTGAAATGTGAGTTGTGAATCTATCGCGTAACACCGCCTCCATTAGCCCCCTATCATGATTTTCACTTTTCGAATTTTTCGAAAAGAAAACAAGAAGACTAACCGTGCGCCAATTCCGCCATTTTTGGCCGTAGACCATGGAGAATCCTCGGAGCCGAGAGAAGAGGAATTCGCTGGTCTTGTTTAGTGTTTGAAGGGGTAAGAGGAGGGAGGATGGGAGAGGATATTGATCTTACCCCATGACGAAGTCGGGACGACTGGAGAACGTCTCGCCGGCTTTTTCGAGGAGGTCTATAGCTCCCTCCATAGTCCCAAGCACTAGCACCCATCATATCAGTTACCCCTTCCCAAGCCTTCACTGCTCACTTCTCTAGGGTCAGGTAACATACAAACATTCAACTGCGGCCCTGTGTAAAAACTCGCCACATTACCTATCCCCCACCCCATGTCAGCAAATCATACTCCTCTCTACACAGCCGGACAGGAGCAGACATACCATATTTCTCATTCCACGCCTTAAACACATTCCAGCGATCAGCTTGCAAGTACTTCGCATGATCACTGCCCGGCGGACCAGGCGGGAGTTTCGGTCCTGTTTTGCGGAACGCTGCTTGACGAATGAAACGAAGCAAGAAGACGATGATGGTGAAGGGGACTGCTAGGACCAGCAAGCTGGGGAGGGGTGCTATTTCGAACAACATTGTTGGGGATGTGTGGCAGTGGAAGCTGTGGTGTCGTGTCCGGGGACGCTGACGGTTGAGGGAATGAAGTGAAGGATGAGATATAAGGGAATTTGAGTTGGACAAGAGGATGTACAGGTAAGGGGATCTATATAGAACCGGTATCAGAAGAATGGAACGGGATGTGATGTGAGGGGAGAGCTTGATCTGCACATCTGAAAGCGAATCCATCCTCTAGTGAGCTCAGCTGACTGCACCAAATGCAACGACAACTGCACTCCACCTTTACATGCTTGCATGCATACATAGTCCACGAATGATACGTGCACACACAGAGATTTGCACAGAGAGATTCACGCACGCAATACACACGTCCACACGTACACAAGTCCTACCCCTCTCTCTCCATGTCAGGTGTATCTGTCCCAGAGCGAATGGAATAGCCCTACGATCACGTAGCAGGTAGGTAAAGGGGTCAGTAGCCATGAAGGTTTATCGGCCAAAGGGCCCCCTGGCCCTTCCAACTGGTAGTTGGGGGGTATAGCCCGTATATATAGATAGACCCAGCCCTATAAGAACACGCTAGGGTGTCACCTATCTATCTGATAGGATAACCCCTCTCCAGGTGCTTTGCTCTCAAGACACTAGGGCCCTCTCTCCAGGTGAGGCTATCGCCAACCTCGTCGTCGACCTCTGCGAGTATATATGTGGGTAGAAGTAGCCACGCGGCCGCTCCAGGCCCGAATCCCCTTATACATAGTACATACCTCAACCCCCATGGCCATAGCTCTAGCCCTACGGGAGGGTTTTTGAGATCTTGAATTCTGATATCGAGACCGCGTTTAAACTGCTTTGGGCGGCTGTGCCACACGATGTCCCCACACACCCTTGTTTCCCATACAGAACAGGTAGGTATGAGGCGCTATGTGGACACCTGTAAAACTTGTTTCTGCAGCTTATTTTTTTATTATTTTGGCTGAAATGGCACTTATCGATAGAAAAAACAGAGATAAAGCCGGGATACTTGAGCACTTAATAAATATCGCGACGCGCGTTGGTGTTGTTAATAGATGAAGTTGAAGATAGTTAAAGGTGGTTGTTGCAGGTGAGTGGTGGAGAGAAGGTGGGGTAGGTGAAAAGGTG